AAACATGGAATTATCCATGAGTTCTCTTCTCCTAGAACTCCACAGCAAAATGGAGTTGTCGAGAGAAAGAACAGATCTCTGCAAGAAATGGAAAGGACAACGATTCAGAACAAAATTTATATCAGACCAATTATGGATGAAACATCATATGAGTTATTCAAAGGTAGAAGACCTATTATCTCTTATTTTCATCAATTCGGACGTACATGTTACATCCTGAGTAACAAAGTCTACCTAAAGAAATTTGATGCTAAAGCTCAGAAAGATATCTTTTTATGATACTCTGAACGCTCAAAAGCATACAGAGTGTATAACTCATAAACTAGAATAGTTGAAGAGTCTATGCACGTTAAATTTGATGACAATTTACATGACCATAACAAGTTAGAGTCTTTGGTTCAGAATGATTTCTCTGTAGGATTTGGAATCATGAAGAACAATATGTGGTTTGTGTCCCTAAAGAAAAAGATGTAGTAAATAATGATCCAGAATCTGTTACTATATCTGAAGATATATCAGGAGCTACAAAAACTGAAGTTACTCCAACTGGTCCTTCTTCTACTGATTCAATGATTGCTCACAATGGCACATAATCCTCTATTCAACCTAAGATATTGTTTAAGTACAAAACATCTCATCCAGAAGAGCAAATCATTGGTACTAAAGACGAGTCATTGAGAACCATATCTGCTTTCAGAAATGATCACTCAGTGGTCGGACTTATTTCGCTGATTGAGCCTTTTTCTGTTGATGATGCCTTAACTGATAATGGTTAGTTATGGCTATGTAAGATGAACTAAATCAGTTTCAAAGAAATGATACGTGGGATCTTGTTCCAAGACCACAAGAGAAAAACATCATTGGGACCAAGTGGGTCTTCAGAAACAAACTTAACAAACTTGGTGAAGTTATCAGGAATAAAGTTAGACTTGTGGCTCAAGGCTATAGTCAGCAAAAGGGAATAGACTTCTTCGAAACTTTCTCTCCTGTTGCAAGGTTATAAGTCATAAGACTACTTTTCTCTTATGCCACCAACCATGACATAATTCTTTATCAAATGGACGTGAGAAGTTCTTTTCTGAACGAAGTTATTACTGAAGAAGTTCATGTCAAACAACCTCCAGAATTTATTGATTCAAATCATCCAGATCATGTCTACAAGCTTAAAAAGCACTTTATGGTCTTAAATAAACTCCAAGAGCTTGGTATGAAAGATTGAGTAATCTTTTGCTTGAAAATGGTTTTGTTAAAGGAAAGGTTGACACTACACTTTTTAGGAAAACTTTGAAAGGAGAAATCTTGATTGTTCAAATTTATGTTGATGACATAACTTTTGGTTCCAGTAGTGCATCTATTTGTCAAGATTTTTCCAAGATTATGCAGGCTGAATTTGAGAAGAGCGTGATGGGTGAATTAAAATACTTTTTTGGTATTTAGATCAGTCAGAAGTTTAAAGATATTTACATTCACCAATCTAAGTATACAAAGGAACTCTTGAAAAAATTCAATCTCGATGATTGTAAAGCCATGTCCACTCCTATTCATCCTACATATAACCTTGGTACTGAAGAATGCAGTTTCAGTGTGGATCCAACAAAATATCGAGGTATGATTGATTCCTTACTCTATCTCGCTGCTTCTAGACCTGATATCTTATTCAATATATGTTATGTGCAAGGTTTCAAGCAGATCCTATAAAGACTCACTTAATTGTTGTTAAGAGAATCTTTAGGTATCTGAAAGGAACTTTAAATCTTGGACTTCTTTATAAAAAGTCCTCAGATTATAAACTGGTTGGATTCTGTGATGCTAACTATGTTGGAGATGGAATTGAAAGGAAGTAGACTAGTAGTTCTTGTCAATTTATAGGTAAAAATCTTATCTCTTGGGATAGTAAAAGACAAGCAACTGTTGTTTTTCCACAGCAAAAGCATTTTAGCTGCTAATTCCAATTTTTTGTGATAATATTGCTGCTATCTGTCTAACAAAGAATTTAATTCATCATTCTAGAACCAAACATATTGAAATTATATATCACTTTATAAAGGATTATACTCATAAGGGTGTAATAGATATTCAGTTCATTGATTCTGAACATCAATGAGCTGCTATATTTACAAAGCCCTTGGCCATTGCTAAATTTTATTTCATCAAGAAAATTTTAAACATGGTTTATGTTACAGAATAAATGCTTGTTCTCTGAGTGATGTTTTGGAATATTCGTTGGAGTCTGCTAGTAGTCAGTTGATTCATTTCTGATAGTTTTTTAAGTATGGTCTTTAAGTTTGAATAAGGGTTACCAGATCTCTCTCTTCCTTAAAACATACACTAATAAGTTAATTTCTTGATATCTGTTTTGAGTTAACAATTGAACTATTCCTTGAGTTCTGATAAAATAAAAATCTTTGTTTTAATACTCTGATTTTATGAATCTGCTCTAAAAAATTTGTTTCATTAAAAAAAAAAGTGTTCTGACAAAGATTCTAACTTGTTTTTATTCAGACCTAGGACTGTCCAAATATTTTAATGCATACTTGTTTATATTCTAGCATTATGTGTGATAAGTTTCTAAATTTTTTTTCCTTATTGTGTCAAAGGTTATCTTCTACATAAGATGATTTTGTGAATTCACTATTCTTCATCTTAATACTTCTTCTTCAAAATGTCCTCGTAGTTCATTAAAGAAGAATTTTGTTGATTTAGATTTTCTAAAGGAATTTACAGCTGACATCAATGAATTGACAACAAATAATCCTTCACAATTTGCTTCAGATCTTGTGAAAGACTTTTGGGCCAATGCTATGAGAAAAATTGGTTGTCTGATTCTGTTTGTTATAACAACTCAGAAAATGATTTACACATCATCTATGGTAACAAAGACCCTTCTGAAAGTCCTTATACTCTTTCTCATATGGCAAAAGTCTAGTACAAATTTATGGTAAGCATTCTAAGACCTAGAGTACAGGGGACCATATGTCTTTCTCTGATGAAAAACTGTTATTCTTTACTAAAGTATTTTTCCCTATCTTCTCTTTTTGATTGATGACAAAGGGGAAGAATGTATTGAGTATTTTAGGATAATAATGGTTCCGAATATGGTTAGTAATCCTATTTAGGGGGGGTTGGGGGGGGGGGTTGTGAATCTCACCCTTGGAGTAGATTTATTGTTCTGTATGGAAAAGAGCTTACAAACCTCAACTCCTAGACTTTACAGACAAGACTTAGGGGGAACTTACAAACCTTACGTCTTAAATTGTTTGACTCAGGAGGAGCTTATTAATCTCAAACCCTGAAAGTTGTTGAATAATTAATTTGCTTCTGATTGTTTTTCTAAAATACTTTATGTCGTCATCATAAAAAAGAGAGAGATTGTGGAAACCAGTTTGGTTCATACCATGAATCTTCAAAGATTTTGATGATAACAAAGTATTTGAAAAACAATTAGGACTTCAAACTAGTCAGTTTGCGTGTGCAAAATTATATTTACTTGATGTAACTAGTTCTAACACTGAAATAACTTTGTTTGATTCTGATCATGCTCTCTCAAGGATGTCTGATCAAAAAAGCAGCTACTAGTGCACTTCAGCTTAGAAGCGTGCTATGTTGCCTCTGACGCTTAGTAATGTCATGTCAGTTCTACTAACACATATCTCAAGATTTATTGATATTACCTTCTACAAGTTGTGTTGTACTTGAATTGTAGTTGTATCCTCTAGACAAAGGCCTTATTTCACATATATTCTTGTGACTGGAAGTTCTAACACTTGCTTTATTGGAAAGTAAGATGAAGTAGAAGATTTGGTTCTGTTTGTAGCCGTTGAAGATCTCCAACGTCTCTATTTTCCTTAGCTATAAAAAGGAGCTGAAGATTTGAAGATCAACTAAGAAATAACGATGCAAATACAACTAAGAAATACACGCATTACTTTCAAAAAGATGAGTCTGTTAAGAGTTCTTACTCTTGTGTTGATTAAAAATCTTTGTAAAAGTGTGTTGTATTATTTGAACACCTCTGATATTTTATCAAGTGTTATTGTAAGTTATTCCTTCTCTAAACTATCTGTTTAGATATAAGTCTTTTGCTGTAGACTTGAGCAAGGTAAAGTTTTAACACGAGCTCTAAGGAAAGGAAAGTCTTAATCAGAAGCTGGTTAAGTAAGGTTAAGTCTTAGACACGAGCTTTAAGCAAATGAAAGTCTTAATCAAAAGTTGGTTAAGCAAGGTAAAGTCTTAGACACGAGCTATAAGTAAGGTGAAGATTTAGGCCAGTAGTCTAAATAAGAGAAGTCTCGGTCAGGAGTTGATTGAGCAGATTGAAGTATTAGACACGAGTTTTAAGCAAGGGAAGTCTTGGACAAGTGGTATGAGTAAAAAGAAAAGTCTTATACAAGTGTATTTAAGCAAGTGTAATCTGGTTGTTTATAGTGGAAAATCTCTTGCTTGACAAGAGGATTGAAATACTCTTAGTTGAGAGAAAAACCATGATAACTATTCTGTATTCTTTGTTATTTTTACTTTACTTTTATCTCTATTTCCGATGCACTTTATCAAATTCTCAACACAATTTTTAGAATCTAAACTCTAGTTCAAAAGTAAATTTAATTTTTATAAAACACAATTCAACTCTAATTTCTTTATATATTAATTCAGAGAATCAATGATTCTTCGCAATAAATCCTTATCAAATCTCAGGTAGATTGTTGCGGATCTGAGAGCTGTGTAAACATCCTTGGTATAAATATTGAGCTCAATTTTTGTATTAGTTAAAATACAAAATTAAACTAATTTTTCATAATTGGGTTACGCAATTCTATTTAGGGGCAATATAGATATTCACTTTTATAAAAAAAAACCACGAGTATTAGGGAAAGTCCACAGCGTTTCCGTCCTAACTAGCGCGGTTGTGGGATTTAGGGCGCATTCTTCTCAAGCTAGCAGACCAGAGGTCACCGCTCACCATCTTCCTCAACTCTCCTGAAGCAATCCGTAAGATTGAAAAAATGGAAGAAAAAAATGGAAGAAAACGCCAGGGTGAAAATCTAAAAACAAAGAAGAACAACAAAAAACAAGTTTTCGAATACGGCAACTACAAGAGTTACTACAACTACAGAGTAATTTATTCTTCTTCACCTTTAACCTTTTCATGCACCTACATTATCACCGTCTTTATCGTATTTTGATCTTGTTTCAGATTAGTGAAGGTGTTGATGAAGATCCTCGCATGAAAGTGTTCAAGAAAGAGTGGTTTCAAGGGAAGGATTGTCTTGATATTGGTTGCAACAGTGGGATAATCACCATACAGATTGGTATTTTTCTTTCTTTCTTAAATACCTTTTCAATTAAATTAATAACTAATGCATTAATGTTATCTTAACAATGTTTAATTTTCATGCATCATTAGGGTTGATTTTTGCTGTTGTTGTTTATTAGGGTTGGTTTTATTGGTTCTCTGAGTTGATTCCTATCCTCTTGTTTAAGAAAAATTACATTAGGTATTAATCTTGTAGTTCTATTTTCAAAAGCATATAAAGCAAGAAAATTTAATTCCCAAATTTGAGATACATCAAAACTAATTATACGAGGGTGAAGCATAGAATCACATAAAAATGTTCATTTTATGTTATAGTGTTGGGGTAGCACTATCTTAGAAAAGATAGTGGAAAATAGACTCAGGTGGTTTGAGCATATGTAGAGAAAAGATCGGTAGATTCTATGGGAAGGAAAGTATATTAGATGGAGAGAAGTCTAACAGGAAGACCTAGAAAAACTCTAAGAGAAGTTATTATGAAAGATTTTGAGATTAATGATTTGGGTATAGGCATGGTTTTAGATAGAACATTATGGTAGAAGTTGATCCATGTAGCTGACCTCACTTAGTGCGATAAGATTTGGTTGTTGTTGCTGTTGTTATTGTATGTTATAGTTATAATTTCTAAAATTAATTTCTATCATGATGATCTAAATTTCACCTCTCCCAACAGCACTGAAGTTTAGCTGCCGGAGCATTCTTGGAATTGACATTGATTCTGGTAAGACTCGTATTTGTTCTCATCTCTATTGCACATGGGAACTATTCTAGTTTAACTTCTTCGTTTTTTCTTTTTATGTTACTATTTGATGCAGCCTAAATTTGTGCAGAAGGTAACATATTTCTGATACGTATGTTCAAAATGAGACAGCAAACTTGCAAATGAATCCTTAAAATGCTGAATAGTTTATCATCATGTTACTTAAAACAACTCTAGCTATTAGCAAAGTCTCCATGTAATACTACATAGCTGTGAGGAACAGGTTGCCAATATGCATTCTGCTATACAACAAAATCAGGGTAACTTGAAACACTCAACATCAAAGAACACTCATATTTAAGATGTGATCTTATGCTCCCTTAAAAATTGTTCTGACTCCTGAATCCTATTGGATACTTATTGGAATATATAGTTTTCAATTACATCAATACTGCTAGTAATTTGGAAACAGATAGCAGGAAGTCCTCCTTTTGTAATTCCAAATTGTTTAGTTTCATCTGCTTATTCTTTTGTTTTTATGGGTAATGCTAGATCGAGTGTGTGATGCAAATTGGAATTTGAGAAAAACAGCTAGATTGAAATCTGCCGGGAATAAACCTTCCAAGGTCTCCAAACTCAACCCCGACAACAGCCACAGGGACCATTCAAAGAACAGTGTTACTCCTTCATCACATGTTGAAACGAAAGACATTTCAAATGAGCCTTCTTCTTTGGAGCAAATTAATCTTTCCAATATTGTTTCTTTTCAATGCGAAAATTTTGTTCAGAGTCGGCACCCACCAGGAAAGCAGTATGATACTATTCTTTGGTAAGTTGCTGCTGCTTTTTCTGCTTCACTAAATAAAACCTTTTCTTTTGGAATTCCTTATGCCTCTTGGGATATTAGAGTCCTGTTCATAATTGTTTGCCTTTGATTATCTTTATATTGTTTGGGCCTTTTCTGACCTGTTGGCCCATATTTGGGTTTGACTTCTGCTGAAAAGTTGATATCTCCAAATGGATTGTCTATATATTGTAGTATTCATTTTTAAACACGAGCTCAATTGCCTTTCTGTTCACCAAGCATTTACTTCATTTTTAGTTACTAAGCTGCCGGAAAAAAGAAATTCATTCTTAATTGTAAGTTACACATGACTTACTCTTTCTATATATTCTAACTATTATTTGCAGTCTGAGTGTAGCAAAATGGATTCATCTAAATTGGGGGGATGATGGCTTAATTACATTATTTGCAGAGACTTGGAAGCTGCTCCGACCTGTGAGTATTATCTCCTACCATCCTTTTTCCCCTTCTCTTAAGTTTTAACCACATAATATAAAAGTTCACTTGGCAAAAGAAAAAGCCATGATATATGAGACATGTGTAATGAGAGGAATGTTTTACGTATGCTGACTCTAGCAACATTAGATTATATTCCATGCCTGTGTATGAACCCCTCTAAACAATCTATGTCTGTTGCCTGTCTCTGACAGAACTCACAAATATAATGGAAGAAATTGTGTATTATTTATGGAATTTGATTGATCATGAAGCTCTACAAGTTGAAAAGATAAACCCGAGTATGAATAATCCTACCAGAGAGATGATTCTCTCTCCTAAGTCCTAACAGAATTCTTCACAATATGCAAAAATGACCCTCCACCTAGCCTCTCTCCTGCTAATAACATAATCCTGTAGAACAAACCAGACTAACATACTCATTCTATTCTCTCCTGGCTCACTTTTCCTCTCCTTGTGCAAACATGCGATATGGTGGTTTCGTTTCAATCCTCATCTCCAGCCCCACCAGTAACTCAATCTCTGCTGAATAATGAATTCTAGCTGAATCTAGCAGGTTCAGCTTACAAGAACAGCTCCAATCTTCTAAATTATGGGGAATTGTTCAAATTACCGCGGGGCCAATTTTTGATTGGTTTTTCTAGCTACTGTTTGTTGTTGATGTGGTTGTGGCCTTAGTTTTTGAAACACCCACTCCCCACCTGAAAGTTCAAATCTACTCTCTTTTGACTCGCACACCCATTCATTTGTTGTTGGACTCGGGTCAAATGGTGCTTCAATTGTCACAACGCTGAATTCCACCTTATCAACTCCATTGCCACTGCTTCCGCTCGTCTTTCCTAGTGAAAATCTCACCAAAGGAGGTGTTTTTCTCCCATAAACTACAAAAACTGTGGTACTTTCAAGTGTGTTTTCTCTGTTCTAGAGATTCCAGCTCTGATTCGTTTTCTGAACTTGAATTAATTAATGGTGCACATATTCTCTAGTAAAACCACACACCAACATAACCTTCCTCTTAATATATTCTGTTACTTACAATGTAATATTTCTTCTGAACAGGGTGGCTTTTTTGTGTTGGAACCTCAGCCATGGAAGTCATATGAAAGCAACCGTAATGTCACAGAGGTAACAATTAACCGGCTTTCATTTCTGTGATTATGGATTTCGTAGCTCAAAGGGTATACTTTATACAATTATCTTGGATCCATTTATTTTGTAAATTACGTGCATGGCGTGTTTGTGGAATCATTTCCTGAAATTTGAATATATTATGTTTAGGGATTTGCTTGTGAGCAAAGCAAGTCCTACCTTTCCAATGGATAAATGTTCTATGTTTTTCTTCTGTAACTTTACTTTATGTTGGTGGAGCAACTAATGCAACATCAATGTGCTAAAACTATTACTATAGCTTTGCTTTTAACTCACTTTATCACTTTTTACAAAATAAGAAAGGGGTTAGTATTGAGTCATTTTTTCTCCATTATACAGAATACTTCTGCAAACTTCCGTAATATTAAGTTTCGACCAGAAGAGTTTCAGGAAATACTGCTAGATAAGGTTTGTATTAAATACTTCAGGAATTATATTTTGAAGTTTGCCCCATTGATAAGGATGCCTTAAGTTTTGCCATTTTATACAATTTTGTTTAGATGCTAATAGATAATATTTAACTTATTTGTAGATTGGATTTAGAACAGTAGAAGCAATTACTTCAGATTTGACAGGTAGCACAACTGGTTTCAACAGGCCGATTTTGGTTTTTCAGAAATAACCAATGTAGAAAGTCATTCGAGTAAATGTGCTTCTTCCCCACAGAGATAAGTACATGTTATATATTTTGAGAACAAAAGTGGTTACTAATAGACCCCACAAAACTTGCAATGAAGCTGCTGTTCAAGATGATTACTGGCATGCATGGAAGCAAATTTTTGGTTGAATGAAAAGTGTCTTGTGTAGTAGTGTTTTTGCTGTCAAATATTATCACATAATTTTGGTCACCAATGAGTTGGCTTGTTTTCTGCCAAGGATCATGTCAGTTTTGGCAGTTGGTGTCAATGAGTGAAAACGGTTATGTTCAACCTAATTAAAGCTGTTATTTTACCTGGATACTACGTTAGTATCATTTTGGTTCAGGGTGGGTCTTTTTAGGGATGAAAAGGAAGAACATGAAATGATGATTTGTATTGTTTATTTTGATTAATATATTTGTTTTCTTCGCATCTAATGGAATGAGAAAGTTTATTTACCTTTTATTTATTATTTCTGTTGTTATAGTCTAAGGGACCTGTTTGATTTTGAATGATGGCCTTGCTTTATGACAGAAGTCAAATATGGCAAAACAGCACTGTCAAAATGTAGCCATAATAACACCCTAAAATTTACTAAATTTTCAATACAATGGCCCAATTGAATTATGATCAATGGTTCCCGAATTACTTTTTCTTTATACGTTTTCTTCGATAGATTACTGTCCTCATTATGGCATTTTACGACCAGACTGCACTCATAACTCATATATATCAACACCATTGTGCAATGTTCCAACTCATTTCATCAACAACTATGGATACCACAGGAAACTCAAAGCAACTACAAACCTTTGATAATAAAGAACAGCACACTTTCCATTATCTTCTTTTCACCCCAAAAGCCAACACTGATATTCACAATTCTGATGTCCCTCTGCATGGTGAGCATTCTGTTGAGAACTACTTGGACTCCAACTCGTGGAGCGAGGTAGATGGTTATGTATCTGATGATGAAACAGGTTTTGATGAGCTTCTGAATGATGGAAAAACAATGAACAAAATAGAAGTGTTGGCTGCAATGATTGGTGTTGATACTAAGGAACCAGCGGCTGTGTTGACTGAGGTAGTGAGAGTTCTCAATCTCTTAAAAGAGAGTATATTATTATCACATTATTGTTGATACTTAGAATATCCGTAGAACACACACTATGGTTTTTATGATTTTCTTATGGCGCATACGTAACTTGTGTATGTTCCTCGTGTCATTTTATTAATATGAGTTTCCAAATCTCTTTTGGTTGGATGATTTCACTTTCTTTCATTCGGCGTCATATAGAATAACTCATGTATTTGATAAATTATACAGCCAATCAAACCTTTAAAAATTTCCTATCATCAAGAACTAATGCACTACTTGAAGTTGCCCAGTGACATCTGCAGTCCTTTTGAAATTCCATATCTATGAGGTAATAGATACTTCATATCATTTGTTGATGATTTTAGTAGGATGATATAGTTTTTTTCTAATAAAGAATAAAGACGAGTTACTTGAAAATTTCAAGAATTTTAAGGTGAAGGCAAATAAGTACTATGAAAGATCCACCAATGTTGTATTAGAGGATTTGAATGCAATTGAGAAGAATCATACATGATACTTGAAAAGTTACTAAGACAACAACACTCATATAAGTGTCGAGTAGATATCCATCAATTATCTATTATAATGTATTAAACAATATTACGACACATCATCAATTAAATATTTTAATTAGTCCACATCATCTTAATTACATATGTGTATAAATTACCTATTCAGCACATAATAATTATATTTAAAAAAAATATTACATTATAGTTTCACTTTATTTTTTTATGCACAACTTTTTATGAAAAAGAACTAGAAACATCTTTCTATCTTCATAAATTTTTCTTTTTTTATGAGTATACTTCGACTTATTATTAAATTAAATCAGTATGTTATATTAATTTCATTTATATAATCTTTAAATATCGTTATATAAAATTTTATTCAATTTTTAAATAACACTATGAAATTTTTTTGAGAGTTAACTTAGTCTCTATTAAAAAGTAGAACAATTTTGATTTTTAAAAAAATGACTTATTCACTACTTAAGCACTCTTAAAAATGAACAATTACATGCTTAACAATAAATATAAATATATATCTAATATTCTAATGTTAATTAGAAATATATAATCGGAGTCTTATATAAAAATTTGTTTTTAAAATGAGTTAAAATTTTCTATTTTCTGTTTTCGACACTAATTACTCCTGTAATTTTCTCATTATTTTTGTTTATAAACATTTTTATTACTAATAAAATTTTACCAAAATTTTTTCTGACTTTTTAATTGAGTGTCGTAAGATTTACATAAACAAGATTAAAAAAAATAGAAAAATAAAAAGTAATACACATGATAAATACTTCTCTCATTATTTTTGTTTATAAACATTTTTATTACTAATAAAATCTTACCAAAAAATTTTCTGACTTTTTAATTGAGTGTCGTAAGATTTACATAAACAAGATTAAAAAAATTAGAAAAATAAAAAGTAATACATGTTCTAGCCTGGGCCGGCTTGGCCAGGCAGGCCCAGCCCAATAATATCCTGCCAAGCCTAGTCCAGCTTGGGTCGCGGCCTCCGAGCACAAGGTCCCCGGCGGACAGGTAATGCCCCTCCGCGGGCAGAACCTGCCCATCTATATCGAGCGTAAGACTCTCCCATCACCAGACACTGCCCTCCTCGCGGGCAGGACCTGCCCCTCCGCGGGCATAACCCGCTCCCATGTCGGGCAGGACGACGTGTCCTTCACACGTTCTCCACGTGCTCCCCTCCGCGGGGACACGTCACCGACCAACTGTCCACCTCCGAAAGAGCAGGTCAAACCCATTTTCCGGAGATCACTGGACAATTGGACTAGGGCGAATACCACGTCCTGGTCTTCACTACGCCACGTAAGCCCTATCAGTCACCTGGGTTGGGCCTGACAATCCAGCCCAACACAAGTGATCGTTGGCCCAACGCCGAGGTCTCTCTATAAATACCCTCTTTCACAAGAGGGTCAGATAATTCTCTTCTTACCCTCTTTCTGTATTTGCTTTCACTTTGCCCAATTCCTTACTTTGGCATGAAAGTGTCTTGTAGGTACACCCCCTCCTCTTCTTCAACACCGGTGAACAGGTAGCAGCCCAACAGAGTGTGACCAGCTAGTGATCCCCTTCTGATCAGGTCAGATCAATACACATAATAAATACTTATTAAATAATTTAAATACGAATGTGATATATTCAAACATAAAATTTTAAATTACTAGAATGACATAAACTTTTAGAAATGATTCTCTTGAATGATAAAGGCAAAATAAAAAAGAACATGAAATAAAAATAAATTGATTAGAATTTTTTTTAAATTTATTTTACAATTTCATGATTCAACACTTTTACTTATCTATTTTATTTCACATTTTTATGATTGAACATTTTCACTTATATTACTTATTTCAAATATCACATTCAAATTAAATCACAATAAAATTGGAATCTTGTGGAATATTTCAGATTTATTTTACATTTTCACTTAAAATTTTACAATTTACTTTTTTTGGCTCTCCTAATTTTATTGTCTAAAGTAATAATAATTATAAAGTTTGTATTCACATGAATTATCTCGATTTCTACTTAACAATTACTCTCCCTGTCTCACAATGAGTGATCAGTGAACCATTTCACACAATTAAGATAAAAGAATAAATGAAAGAGAGAGAATGATATTTTTACTAAAGTACCCCTTATTAATTATTGGAAATGATGAAAATAATATTAATTAGAGGATAAAATTGAAGAAAATTAAAACGGGTCATGAGACATTTTTTTATTACAAATGAATCACTCATTGTGAATTGGAGGGAGTATTATTTTACTCAGATGGTGTAATAGTAACAAATGAGGTTATGCATAACATATGATTAAGAAAAGATCAAATAAAAATAATTTTGATTGAATTTCTTTTTGTAAATAACTACATTTTCATAGGCTTGTAATCCATGTTGATCAAATGACTTCAATCACAAGAGAGGGGATGAAGTCAATTGTGTTATTTAATTTTTTAAAAATATTTTCACAAAACAATTGATTTTAAGGTTGACTGATTTTAAGAAATGAGAAGAAGAAGATATTAAGAAGTGGAAAAATACAATACAGAAGAGATGGAGATAGAAATATCACACTAGAATTTATACTCATCCGACCTTAAATCATGCAGCCTAATCCAATTCCTAAAATTTTCTCCTTGAGATTTCCACTAAAACACCTCGAGCTCTTACACCAGAACCAAACCAACAACCTTGCATACACCAATTTTTTTAACCAAGTTTAACTTGCAACCTCTAAGTCAATTACAAAGATACAAGAGTACTATACTTTTGAATTACAATTTCAGCATAACACAATTACACAACTTTCAATATAAGCATTTTACTATCTCAACACTGAAATATGTATAGTAGATAAAAATTATTTATGAGAAGAGAGTAAGTGATAAAGGAGAGTGTTAAGTGAGGAAATTCATACTTTAGAAGTGAGCATGTGACTCTTTTATACCCAAAAAAAATTGCACAAAAAAGAGTTTGGTTTGAGTTACCATCCTGGTAAGACTAATGTGGTAGCAAATGCTTTAAATATGCATATGTTGACGTTTATGGTTCGAGAATTGGATTTAATTCAATAGTTCATAGATCTTAGTTTGGTGTGTGAGATGACTCATAACAATGTGAAGTTGAGTATGCTTAAGCTGGCTAGTGGTATTCTTGAAGAGATCAGGAAAAGTCAGAAAGTCGACTTGGCATTGATTGACTAGTTGGTGTTGATCAATCAAGGTAAATATGTAAACTTCAGAGAAGATGAAAATGGGGTTATGAGGTTCCGTGACAGGGTCTGTGTGCTAGAGCTTAAGAAGAGAATTCTTGAGGAAGGTCATAAGAGTGGTTTGAGTATTCATCCCGGTGCTACTAAGATGTACCAAGATCTTAAGAAGATGTTTTGATGGCCAGGTATGAAGAAGTATGTTGCTAAGTTTGTTTATTCTTGTCTGACTTGTTAGAAATTGAAGATTGAGCATCAAAAGATATCATGATTGATGCAACCGTTGAGTATTTTGGAGTGGAAATGAGATAACATTTCTATAGATTTTGTGAAGAGTTTACCGAAGACTTCTAAAGAAAGTGATTCGATTTAGGTTATGGTGGATAGACTGACTAAATCAGTTCATTTTATTTTGATAAAAATCAGTTATCCGCTGCAGAAGCTTTCTAAGGTTTATATTGTGAGGATTATCAAGTTGCATGGTATTCATTCGATTGTTGTTTTAGATAATGATCCTAGGTTCACTTCTAGGTTTTGGGAGAGTTTGGAGAAAGCCTTGGGAACCAGGTTACGATTAAGTTATGCTTATCATCTACAGACGGACGGTCAGACAGAGAGAACCATCTAGTCATTAGAATATTTCCTAAGAGCTTGCATGTTGGAACACATATGTAGTTGAGATACTTACTTGCCATTGATCAAGTTTACCTACAAAAAAATTTATATTCTATCATTGGAATTACCCCTTTCAAAGCTTTATATGGTAGGAGGTGTATGACACCTTTGTGTTGGTTTGAATCAGAAATCCTTCAGTAGATTGCATAGAAGATCAAAATGATTTAGGAGAAGATGAAAGTATCATAGAGCAGACAAAAGAGTTACCATGATAAGCGAAGGAAAACACTTAAATTTCGAGAGGGAGATCACATGTTCTTGAGAGTGACTCCGGTGACTATTGTTGGACGTGCTTTGAACTCTAAACAAATTACGCTGTATTTCATTGGTCCTTATCAGATTTTGAAGAAAGTAGGAGAAGTAACCTACAAAGTTGCTTTACCACCATCTATTTTGAATCTTCATAATGTATTTCATGTGTCTCAACTTTAGAAGTATGTTCCAGATCCATCTCATGTGATTCAGATAGATGATATACAAGTGAGAGATAACTTGATTGTAGAGGCATCACCATTGAAAGTTGTTGATCGAGAGGTTAAACACTTGAGAGGTAAAGATATCGTCTTGGTGAAGGTTGTATGGGGAGGACCTGCTGGAGAAAGCATAACGCGAGAGCTGGAA